CCACACACACAGACACAGACACACTAGCTGCAAAAACTCCCATTATGTGCTTCGCACATGGGAATCAAAAATATTGTCTTCCATATTGCATTTTTAATCACATATGATATTCATTTGTTTTTGAGATGCAGGGCCCAAAATAAGTTTACGAGAAAAACTATATTTAGACTAATAATGAATATCTTATGAATAATTCTACAAAGCACAATATTGTATATCAACTCACTTTGAATTCTGAAATCTCAGGATTATATGAAGAGGATAGCTCTAAAATCTAAATATATATAAAAAAAACACGATAAGAATCAACGGAACAAATAAAATTATCATATTTAAATTTACGACATATTCTTATTCTTTATCAGAACACTTTGAAGCAACCTAAAGAAGAGCATTAAGATACCAGTTATCTGGCACCCTTAGCTTCCTGTGAAATGACTTGAATATCTCTACCAATCAGATGGCATGCCTAACCTTGTAAGCTATCTTATCACCAGTCCTAGGGGGTCCATGGAGTGGTGTCAAGCTATTGTAGTCTCTAGCTGGCTTCTGCGTTTGGATACTCGTCATCGGGGAGGAATCCGGCGCATTCTGTAAAATGAAATAAATGTAAATGAATAACATGAAATTATGTGGGAACATAATGCATAGTCTGTATTCATGGAATCAGATATTTAAGTCAAAGCTATCTTGATAGGTTAGTTATCATGTCAAGCTGCCACAGAAGTTACACCAGGGTTTTTTCTAGAAAAAAACTGCAAGATGGAGCACTGCAATTCAGCGGCGCCATCAAGTGGGGGAGATAGGGTTCTCACTACCAGGGTGTGGAGTTTTTGATAATTCTAAGTTAAAATGGAGCATGCTATGGCTTCCTTGGGGCCAAAAGAATTTTATGGATCTGCTTCCCAGGGTAAGGGGCGCATGGCCATGGCATGAGGGCGCTGCACCCCTGTTCCCTTGTTTAAAAAAATCCCCGTTACACTATAGCAACATAATCAAATAAGATTGCGTTATCACTTTGTATTATACTTGTATGCAGAATACTGATGATGATAATGATAAATTAGTTGGTCTGGCAACAAATCCTGAAATCTGTTTTATTAATCAGATGATCGAATGAATCAGGATCAAAGTCATATTATATACCAAATAATGTGATTATCGCTAACATTCTATTATCATCAATGCTTGTATTGGGGAATGTTGTTCTTCTCACAAGTTCCCTCTTTTCATGGCAAAATAGTCCAGCTTAGTCTGTACTTCTCTTCAGAAGATTTAGAAAGCTCAAGCAAATCTGAAGCAAGAGTCGCACTCATTTGACTTTAGCGTCATTGACAATGAAACCAATGTTGCAATATTGTAGCAACCCATACCTGGGAGAGTGGTTAAAAACATGCTGTTTTGGCTTTATAAAATATTTGGTAGCAGCTTGCGAATCCATAACTAGGGCCAGCAATTTTGCAATGTCATGCAGATGACTTGACCTCTATGATGAAACACTAGTAGTGATAACTGTACGTTTCAAAAATAGAGCAGGTGAACAGGGATTATTTTTTTTATTATTTTTCAGTATATTTTTTCTTGGTTATAACAGTGTTTGATTTTTTTTTCTTGCACATAAGAAATGTTTTTGCAGATAGGAGTTTCATAAATCATGTTTAAAGTTTGAATTTTTGTAAATTTTCATTCAAAATGTGGCACAATTTTGTGATGTTTTCTCAAATTTGGCCAAAAAAATATAGAGTAGGTTGGGTTATAGAAACCATGCAATTTTTTTTCTTGGCTTTTAATAACTACTTCATTGACAATGCCAGAGGTTAATAACTGACACAATAAGTTCTTAACTTCATAAACCCACCATTACCTGACTAACCTGGATTATAATAGACCTGTTTGTTAAAACTGTATTGAGCTGAGCCTCTTTGTCAAGTTCATACATCTGCTGTGTTCGTCTCCTTCTGTTTGGTCGCTTTCTACCACGGGATGTGCTCCGTTCAATTGGACTGTGTATGCCGTTATGAACCACCTGAGGTGAGCGGTCATCTGCAGTCCCATTGATTTCATTTTCGAGGGCAATTTTATGTAAATTACTTGAGGTAGAATTCGTAGCGATTTCATTATCAGAGTCCGAGTCGCTTGAATCACTGCAGGCATTTGATGTACTCGTTGATTCCGACAAATCAGAAGAATTCTTACTTGAAGTCTTTGTATTTGTCTTTGTGTTACCTTGAAGCGCCAACTTGGTGGGTTTACATAGAGATATAAAATGCGGTTCTCGCTTCTCGGCACCAACAGCATCATTGATATGCTTAGCGTCAACGCTTGAATCATTTTGATCTCCGGATGTAGATTCAGATTCAGAAGCGGATTCAAATCTTAAATGGTTGTTCGAAGAAGCAGTATTATTTTTCTTGACCCTCACAAATTTCTTTGGCGACTTAGAATTTTTGGTTGCTGTAGAAGTTTGAACAGTTTTAATTTTTTGTGTTGATTGTTGTTCGGTGTTTTCAACATTTGTGCGTTCACTTTCAGATTTGCTCAACACACCATTATCACTGTCAATCTTTTTCTTATTTTTCATTTTCTTGTTCGCTTTATGCTTCTTAGCATCTTCAATACTGTTAATTATTTCATCTGTACTTGCGATTTTTTTCTCTGACCTCTCTTCCCCGGGTTCGTCATCAGTCGAGTTCAATCGTCTTCTTTTTTGCTCTACATGTGTTTTATGTGCTTTATGTTTTTTCAGTTTGCGTTTCACTTTGCGATAATCATCATGATGCAATTCTAAATCAAAAAATTCAAGCTCTTCGCTTTCTACGTGATTTATATGTTTGCTCTTCTTCTTCTTCTTTTTTGTTCTAGCTGAATTTGTGACTAATTCTTTCGAGATATATTCCTGTTGTACTCTGTTTAGGATAGATAAATATAACATGTTATCTATTTTTTAATTCAATATAGCAGAATGGTGGACATTATGTTTTATACCCCACAAGGCTTGATACTAGGAGACGTTGAATAGCCTGAACTATTGCAAATTACACCAATCAGTGGGCGTCCCTGCATTTGCCTTGTCAATCTTGATTCGTCAGGCAAAGTTGAGCAGAAACTGATCTAACAACCTTACATTGTAAATATAGTCAAATATTAATGAAAATAAATTAATTGAAGAATTTGAAAAAAATTTACCTCTGTGATTTGTATACTGTGTGAGAGGTGTGTAAATCGAGCATGTACATTTCTAAAATGAATATATAACTGATACATTCTGTATAACGCGTGACTGTGTGTTAAGCCATGGAGCTCCATGGTTAACCCTACAAGTCGTGGAAATTAATTTCATGTTTATCTCAAAATTGTAGTCAGATTTCTCATTCTTTTTTTACATATGACCTTGTATAGCAATAAGCAATCTCCAAAGACATTCATGAAAATGTATTGATAAACCCATGTTGTGACCGTCATCAACCTCAAAGGGTGGTGGCCATCGCAATTGTGTTGATAAGCATTGATTTTCCCACAATCTAGTGCGCCATTCTAATTGAATCACAAGTATGAGTTTTGGCCTGGACACGATGTGCACTAATTATCGCCAGTGACTTCTTCGATACCTTCCGATCAACAAAGAAATTACCTAATTAAATCTTACCTAATTAAATCTTGGTAGTTTGTACTCGTTGCTTTGCACATGGAAGGTAGTAAGGGGTCAAAGTTGTCATCTTAGTTTATATGAGACCCATATCTCGCGCATGAGTGGCGCGACGACCACCGCTCTTTAATTTAAAGTTTAAAGGTGAAAGTTATAGCCAATGGCTGACTGAAATGGTTATGAAGCAAGTCCCCGTGTACTATTAGTGGGGTTTCAATTGAATCATAAAAATACTTTCTAGCCCCGATGAAAAGCATTTACGGTTTTCATCTTACCTGATCACATCATTGTCTCGTACAATTTCTATCTTTTCATTTGCTGGCAGTAAATAGTCGTCAACGTACAAGTGAACGTGAGTGTATCTGCTCATTGTAAAACGTGTCTTTATCTGACTTTCTAAATCACTAACAACTCGACAGTTTTCTAAGTTAACCAAATACAACAACATTCTGGGGTAGCCAAGCGGAGGCTCGTCAAATCTTAAACGCACGCGGATATGTCTTGACGTGGGGAGCGCCATGTTGGATTGAATGTCCGTAATAGAGCGCCCTCTCTTTTAGCAAGAAGTGTTTCTTTTTTTGGCTTTTTCATAGACGACTTTCCCGGAAGTCGAAGATATGTCGTTTCGTCGATTGGTACACCCAGAAGCACAATATCACGCGTGCAAGTTTACGTTACACCCCAAAACGTCAAGGGAAAGTCGTCTATGCAAATAGCGTAGATGGCGTTTTCAACAGGCACGGTGGAGAATACTTGAATCCAACACAATATCACAACATATTACCCGAATTTATCATTTCCTGATATATGATTATTAGTAGTTTTTTTTTTACTTATTATTATTATTATTATTATTATTATTATTATTATTATTATTATTATTATTATTATTATTATTATTATTATTATTATTATTATTATTAATAATAATAATACTTTACCGGTTGTGAGGCTCTGGTTTGAAATCAAGACAGTTTTTTTTCTTTCTCTATTTTGTTTTTGCAGCAACGTATTTATTTTTAATGAAAGCGCTTTTATCTGTGACGTCACAGACTG